TCAGTGAAAAGCTTCCTATATGCAGGGTGGTCAACACATTGCTGAATTAACTGTTTCTACTTTTGTCTATTGATTCCTCTGAGTTGCCAATACAAGATGGTGGCCTGTGTTAAAAATAACACTGTTGACAATAGTCCAGTAATTTTGTCCTCCATCATGCAGGTAAGCAAATACCTATCAAATATTAAAGACCTCTCTTGTTAAACTTTGTTTCAATGTTCAGCATGTTTATACTGGCCTGCACTTAGCACACACATTAACACACACACACATTAACACACACACACACACACACATTAACACACACACACATTAACACACACACACACATTAACACACACACACATTAACACACACACACATTAACACACACACACACACACATTAACACACACACACATTAACACACACACCAACTTTTGTGCATAAATGCAATCCACATTCAGGCCTACCGAACTACCAGATTGGCACATAAGGATCCTGAATTAACCAGTATATCGGACCACACTACTAGTACCCGCTTTCAAGGTGTGTGTCAGATTGCATTTCGGACTATCCGAAAAATTTGTCGGTCGTCCTACAAAATTTGTTCTGGGGTATGATACTCCGAAATGCGATCTGATACACACCTTGAAAGCGGGTAGTGTGGTCTGATATACTGGTTAATGTGCCGAGTCTGGTAGTTGGATAGGCCTGACATTGGGCACTTTGCAGTGTGTGTATGCCGGGGGGGGGGGGGGGGGGGGGGGGGCCAAGTTAACACCCAATCTCTTTTGAGAACCTCCTTTATCAGAGTTGCCCAACTCGCTCCCATAATGCTTCTTTACTCCCCACCAGAGGTCCCTCTAGCTGTTGCAAAATTGGTTTAATTAAGAAACCTATGATGCTATATTATATCAGCTAGAGCTGCCTCAGGTAGAGAGTAAGGATGCTGTATTTTAACCTTGAAACTTTGTAGAGGATTACAATGCCTGAAGAATTCTGAAACCTAAGCTGGTCCTTCATCCTGAGTCTTTTGAAAAAAAGCATTGACTGAGTATTTACTGTCAGTATTTTGAAACTCAAGTTGGTGATAACAGTCCGTAATCCCGACTCCAAGTATAGGATCATAGTGTACCATTAGGATTATGTTATCCCAGGGTGCCTGAACAATAATTACACAAAAAGTCTAATAATCCAAGAGTTTTTTTTCAACTTATTCCATCGCAGGTGGTGAGTGAGCCCTTCTGGTTAATATTCGATCGCCGCTTTGGGCTCTACGTCCTTTGGGATGAAGTAATTGGTGCAAAACACATAAAACACATTTACATAAATTGTCTTTTTCTGTTATTTCGTAATTTTTTTGCCGTGGGCTGGATGATTAGCAAACAAAGACAAGAATAGTGCATTAGGTTTGGGTAGTATTGTGTGGATAGTTCTTGTGTTTTATCTTCTACCACAAGTAAAAACAGTGGATTTTTTTGTATATAATTTAGATGTCTCTATTTATTTTAGATGAGAAATGCAGGTTGAACCACAGGCAAAATTTGAAGTTGGGAAAAAACATTTTCTTTGGGAGAATTGATTTATGTGACATTATGTCAGTGTGTGTATTCTGGCCCAGTTTGCCTCTAGAAAGCTGTTCTTGTGAACAGGTATTCAGGTATCTTTCAAAGCTTAAAAGCTATAATTTACTGTGTTCTATTACATGCTTAGTTGCCGAGTGAATATCATGTAGTTAAATGGATGACTTTTCAAGTTTGTTTTTGAAATGAGACTATTCAAACGTGATATATATTCAATGCCGCGATTCTAAAGATCAAGTTGACTTTTGTCTTTGGTTGCAGTAACACACATAGCCGTTGGCAGCATTGCTATTGCATTTCTCGCAGCTGGTTGAGTGTGTGCACGTGGTTACGCAATAATCGATGATTGTCAACGCATTATTGCTACTTAATGCCTGTGTGTGCATAGACAGGGATTTGTGATCACCTCTGGCTATGGGCGTCTGTGAATGAAATAGGGTGCGTTCAGATTGCTAATAACACCAATCATTTTTGGTTCTGCTATCAGGAAGTTGTCGCTTGCTTGTGATCCATAATTTTGTAATAAACTGTTCTGTTACCCTGAAGTTAGGATTTAAGAGAGGGCGAGATAGCATGGTGAGGAATTGTAATTGAACATTGACTTATATTAAAATTATTTGCAAAAAGAAACAGTCAGTGGGATAGCATATGGTGAAGGATCCAAACATCAAGCATTGAAATTCTTGTCTTTATTATTTAAGTCAAAAGTGCTTTCTTTCCATAGAACGGCAACTCGGCTTTAGTTTAGTTTATGTGAGAACTGCTTGGAACGCATACTCACACTTCCTGTCACGGTTTGCTGTTGGCTCTACTGACAAAAGGAAGAGGGGCAAGATCAATAAGTCAAGTGATGGTTGTGAAGTATATGCTTGATTGATACAGCTCTTTTATTTTATATATTATGTAACTTTCATGGTGAATTGATTATAAATTAAAATTGGTGTGTTGGTATTAGAGATGTGAAATGGGGATGGTTTGAATGATTATTGGTTACTCGTATTCTGTACCTTTGAACAGAACTGATTAATGTTTGCCAATATGGTTTATTTGTTGTCATGATTTTGTGAGCAATGTTGAAAAAATAAATACTGTATGGTAAAGTCAAATAATGAAGTTTATTTGGTGCTTGAAAATAGTGAGATATTGAAACATTCATATACTAGCCATTTTCTTTATACAGTTCAAAAAAGAATAAAGTTATATCTTCATAAAAAATTAATATTCAAAATGACCTCATGAGAAGTGGAAGTAAAGTGGAAAACGAGAGCGTTTCTCGATGCAAACAATTTGAAAGTTAATTGCTTTATCGATAATGTCTTATTACTACCATTAGTACAATATCTCACAGCCTTTGTGCTGTTTAGTTCAAAGTCGTCTCGGTGAAATGAACCGATTGATGTTTTGGCTGCAAGTTGCATAACTTTGACCGCACCTAACATAAAAAGATAATAGATTATGCAGTGCATTCGATTGCCTCTATTCCATGTTGTGGGATAGCTTGTTACACTGCAATTGATTTGCTTTCATGCAAGCGAAAACTCTGACAGATGAGAGACGGGAGGCCATAAGCTTTAGAATGAGGAGACAAATAAATTTATGCCTGTTTCTGCTTGCCAGATATTGTGTATAGCTTGGTTCTGTCTTTTTTTTTTCCAGCGGAATTGTATAACTATTTTTAAGCAAATAAATATATATATATATTTTTTTTGGATAAAACTCAACAGTTATGCAAATTAGACAGAAAAATCTGGCACAAACAGAAATCCTACAATTGGTCCTGGAGCCACTTTTAATCTGGATTTTAATAAAAAAAATATTGGAACACTACTAGTAACTCCTAGTGGTTAGCACCTGGTAAAATCCCTTTCTGCACAGATAGCACACATTAAATCAACCATGTTCTTCGTTTCTAGCATTTTTACAGCTTTTTTTTGTTTTTTCTTCCAATTAGTAAGCTGACCCATACATATTAGAATTGACCCATTCAAAAAAGTGCCAGTGACACAATGTTCAAATATTCTGATAGGCTGTCATAATATCACTGGATACAGATCAATTGACTTACGGTCCAACTTTGCTAGACAGGTCACTGAGTTAGGCTGTCTTAACCATGCTGGAAATGCATCCTTAAAACTCCCTTAGTGACACTGATAATAAAATATGTATGACAGTACATTAGTGTTAATGTAACAGAGGTGGCAAAATTTAAAAATTGAACGAGACTTACCTGTAAGTTGAAGTTCGATTGGAATTCTATTGAGCCATCAATCAGGAACGGAGGATTCACGTGAGAGACTGCATGCCAGCTCTGGTCATTTTTTAAAGTTGAATGGCCTCAAGAAAAAACTTTGGGCCGGGTGATAAATGCGGGTGGGACGTGAATCCTCCGTTCCTGATTGATGGCTCAATAGAATTCCAATCGAACTTCAACTTACAGGTAAGTCTCGTTCAATTTTTAAATTCTATCTCACCATCAATCATTGTCACTACGGAGTCACGTGAGACTTGAAAGTCTTGAGGTCATGAAAACACCAACTGACAACAAGTAATTGAAACTTGTATTTTTATTCGTTACTGCCACCCAGATTAATCAAGTGGGTCTACTATCTCAGAGTAGATATAGGTATATAGATAACTACTGTTTATCATAGTGATGTATTATTGCTTCCCCAAAGTTTACATCCTTGATTATTGTTTTATTATAAAATTTTGCAAAAGTTTGAGCATTTGTCCACCCTGCGCTTTTAATAATAGTATCCACTGGCAGGCTAGTATTGCGAGCAGCTGCAGATGTCACTGCTGCTCTAGTGCTGTGTGCCCTATAAAACCTAGAGTCAACCCCTGCACCTGTCATAATGTTTTTAAGCCATCTAGCAATTGTGTCCGTGCTGATAGCTCTGTGTGGTTTCTGGTAACTGATTAATAATTGATCCGAAGTCCTCAAGTCTTTAGTTTTTTCAATGTACCGTTGTAAATGTGTCACGACACAAATATTAGGTTTGTCATATTTACAGAACTCAATAACTCCAGTGTGATGTGATGGTCTAGATGTCTTTAACAAATCGGTTATATACAACCTACAACTACCCTTATAATCAACTACAATATTAGATACACAAAGAGCTTTCAGCGTTTGAATCCTTTGGCCTGAAAGCAAGGCAAGAAGCATAGTGAGCTTCATAGCTAAAACCCTAAGTGATATGCTTTCTACTGGTAAATTTTTCAGGTAATCTAAAACTATATTCACATCCCATGTGTCAGAATAACGTGGGAGCGAAGGTTTCATTTTGAAAATACCCTTCATGAATCTGCGGACATCTGGATGCTCACCCAGTTTATGTCCATCTAATGTTATTATGGTGGATAGTGCACTCCTGGCAGTATTCATACCACTATAGCCAAGTTCATCCTGGCAAGCCAGTTTTGTGAGGAAATTCAGAACTTCTGAAATATCCGGATTGTAGGGATCAGTATCCCGTTCATTGCAAAACTGGAACCACCTGTTGAAATGTGTTCTGTATTGCTTGACTGTGCCATCTGCCCATGATTTACATAAGATTGCAACAGTGTCTTCCGAAAAGCCTTTTGTTTTGTAGTAATGCCTGAGAGGTGACAGGCCATAAGTTCCAGTCTGTCCCATAACGGATGTACCTTGTTTGGTTGAGTCGGTAAGGTCAGCAGGCATCTGTGCTTGTTTATCAGGCGGGGCTTGTCTACCAGCATGCGCATGGCTGTAGGAAACCACGGCTGTGTTGGCCAGTTGGGCAGGATCACTAATGCCTCTGCTTGTTGTGAGGACATTTGTTGTAAAACCCTCGGTATTACACTGAAAGGGCAGAAAATGTATCCATTTAAATGCCTCCAATTCATTGTAAATGCATCTACACCAACACACTCTGGTTCTGGATTCCAAGAGACAAATTTATCAATTTGTTTGTTAAGCCTTGAAGCAAATAAATCAATGTCAGCAGTAAAAGTAAATTCTGATGCCAATTTTCTGAACACTATGGGATTCAGCATCCATTCTGTCTCACTCTGATATTTCTTACGGGATTCCCTATCAGCAATAACATTAGCTACCCCAGGTACATGTGCCACTGTAAGCCAGATATTTCTATTAATTGCCCATTGCCAAATATCCCTAGCGACTTCATTGCACTGTAGTGAGTGGCTACCTCCCATATTCTTAACATACGTGACAGCTGTGGTATTATCTACCAGCAATCTGATGTGTATGTCTCTGCACTCATTGCAAAGTGCCTGTAGACCAAACAAGCATGCTTTGATCTCAAGCACATTAATATGCTGAGAGGACTCAGAAGCTGTCCAGGGACCACCTGCTTTGATGTCAGTGTCTTTCCTGTGAGCCCCCCAGGCCTGCCCACTAGAATCAGTGTAGAGTTCAAACTCTGGGTCACTCCTAATAAGGCGGGTTTCAGCACTTTCCACATGTGCTATCCACCAAAGGAGGTCATTCATGGATGTTTGTGACAAGTTCATGCAGGAATCAAAGTTGCCGCATGATAGTTTCAGAGCCTTGATCTTATCATTTTCCACTTGCCTGTAATAGAGTGGGCCATGTGGAATTGCTGGGAAACTAGATACCATTAATCCAATTACGTGGCATACCTCCCTTACAGTTGGGCTCTTATTGTTTACCAGTTTAGCACATGCAGATTTCACCTTTCCAGCTTTTTCTGGAGTTAGGGAAACTGTCATTCTTATAGAGTCAAGGATAAATCCTAAAAAAGTCAATTTTTGGGTAGGTATTAAGAGAGATTTTTCTGGATGTATAACAAATCCCAAAGTGTCTAATAACCTAGCAGTAACTGTGACATTTTTCTCGCAATCTTCAATATTCTCTCCCATCAAAAAACTATCATCTAAATAGTAAACTGACTGATGCCCTTCTTTCCTCAATGTAGAAAAAACAGGTTTTAGCAACTTTGTAAAACACAAAGGTCCAGAGGAAAGTCCATTTGGCAATGAAACATACTTAAATATTTTCCCCTTCCATTTGAATTTAAGGTATTTTTGGTATGTTTCCTCTATGGCCACTGAATAGTATGCATCTTTGAGGTCAATTGATGCCATATAGCAGTTTTGTTTCATCATTCTGATAGCACTAAAAAGTGATTCCATTTTAAAATGTCTATATTCCACAAAAGTATTTAATTGACTCAAGTTCAAGATTAATCTGTGAGTTCCATCTTTCTTTTCTCTCACAAAAATGTTTGATATAAATTCACCTTTCTCGTGTTCACATTCAATAATAACTCCTTTCTGCAATAATTTAGCAATTTCAGTTTCAATTACTTGACTTTCCTTACTGTTGAAAGGCAGCTGTTTTGGCAGTCTATATTGTTTAGGTAAATTGACAAAATCTATGGTGTACCCTGAGATCGTCCGAAGTATATTAGGGTCTGATGTCAACTTTTTCCATTCACGTATATGAAACCTCAATTGGCCTCCCCTGAAGGCTTTCACTTTCTCAACAGATTTGTTACATATATCATGTACAAAAACTTGGAAATCAATGGGAGTAGAAACAGTAGCATCTACAAGATTTCTGAATACATCATTCTCAGGTGTATTGATAGTAACAATATTTCTCACCTGCTCAGGGGATTCACTTCCTACATTGGGAAGGCTTACTTTCTCTCCCCCTCCCCTTTTTTCTGATGGGGGTGGCTTCGTTTCCAGTACTTCTGGCCCTGCCGATTGTTTTTCTGGTATTTTGGTGGGCGCCATCCGTTTTTTGGAGTATAGGAGTGGCTTGATGTTTCTCTTCCCACCTGATTTGCCTGTTTTATCTCCCTTAGTGTTTTCTGGAGATCGTCACCAAAAAGGTAGTTGGTCACAGGTTCACTGGAGTAGCACAAAGAGGCATATTCCCTCTTAAGGGCTGGTTGCATCATCTCCCGTCTTTTAAGCGATAAATCGTAGGATGCATGTCCCATTAATGCAATGGCATCAACTGCCTTCTTAAGAAGTGTAGGCGCATCCAGATTTTGTGGTGTTGCCATGTTGGTGAAAACTTCATTTGTCAACTGGCTCACAGCATTAGCAGCCTTGACGAGGGTTGTTTGCACATTGGCCATTCTTTTGTCTTTTTTCCTTTGCAAAGGATTGAGTTGCCGCCAAACCTCTGCATTAACCCTGGGCACTATTACCTTATCACAATTGCGAGGCCTCTCATAATTTTCCTGTTTTTTCAGGAGGAGATCTCTTGGTAGTTGTTTCGTGAAATGTTTATTGATAATGCCCGCTATTTTCCCATCAATTGCAGGGCCACACTGTTCATTTTCATCAAGAGAGGACTCTATTTCCTCAAGCAATTGATATGATGCACCTGCCTGCTCTTTTTCTGGTGCATTTTTCTGTTTCAGGAGATCTTCAATGTCATATTCTGAAACATTGCTTTCGCTTTCCTCACTATCAGAGGAAGACTCTGGCTTGTCTATTTCAACTTTTTGTCTCTTTCGCAAGGGCTCTTCCTTTGCAGTGAAAGCGTTACTTAATGCTTCCACTGCCCTTGCCATGACAGCCATTGATTCTTTCATATTTTCAAGATCATTTGAGTGATTATCTCTACTCTCAGTAGCCATTGTGCACAAACTTGTGTGAGGCACAGCACTAACACTGCAGCAGTTTCCCGTGGAAACTCCCTCCGTGAGGGTGTGGCTACAGCTGTTTTATATCAAGTGTCAACACTGCCCCGTGAGCAGTGTGAGAAACACTTCTGACCAGTTGCTGAACTAGCAGCAGAATGACCAGAGCTGGCATGCAGTCTCTCACGTGACTCCGTAGTGACAATGATTGATGGTGAGATAGAATCCATATCGCCAGCTGAGACTAAGTGAAGGGCAGTATTCTCCTTGAAACCTAATACATTTTTTACAGCCTGTCCATGTTTTTTTATCTGTTATATGTGAGATGTTTGTATATATAAAGGGAAGTGAAGAGAAAAAAGGGATATGTATGTATTTTATTTATTTTGGGGGGGGGGGCTTCGGAGTTGCAATGAGCATGTGTGATACAGTCTTTTGAAACTTCAGGCTGATTTAGTTTGAATATAATGTTAAATTTTGATGTGAAATTACTTTCAGAATGAAAACATGTTGTAGTTTGTAGGGTACTTGTACATACTACTTCTTTGCCTTGGCTGCATTGGTGAACATTTTACCCCCCCCCCCCCTTCTAATGCCGTCAATTCTCCATAGTGATAAGTGTGCTATAATAGTTGTTCACTATTGATTAACTAGCTAAATAAATAGATTGGTTAAAACATTTATCAAAAAGTAGTTATCACATAATCAGCCATGGTATTATCCACTTAGACTGTCTTTAATAACGTGACCAGAAAATAGCCTAGAACTGAGCTTTGTACTGGCATGAAATTGAAAACAAAACAAAAACAAATTTTTTTAAGATGTCACTTTGTTTTACAGCAAAGTCCCAGCAAATTGCTTTTTGTTTACAAAGAGTGACGAGTCCCATAGGTGGAAGATCTGGATGTCACAAGCAAAGTTCTGCGATGTCGAAGATCTAAACTGTCATGTTATTAGATTAAAGAGAATGGTTTAAGCTATTAGAGAATCCTGTAAAGTTGATTCTTATCCTGTTTCTTTGTATAATTTAATAAGAAAGGGTTAAGTTTCCCATGAACATTTGCTTCAGTGTTATTACGGTGAAATTTGAAGCTTCAGAGCATGGTCTCGGAGGATGGTGCACTGAAGGGGAATCACCCAGAGGTTAAATTAAGTCACATTTTCTAGTGCAGGACCTTGTATCACATGCAAGACTTTTCTCCAGAGAACCATCTAGCCGTCATTTGGACAGCCATTAGCCTCATTTTGGGTACCTTATGCCCCAAGTTCTGATCACATGATATTTATTTTGAAAGATAACTATCACTATTCAAGCTAATATTATGACTGTTATTATTAACTAACATTATAATTATTTTGTCCTCATGCCAAACATGAGTTTAAGTTGTTACCATATGCAGACATTTAGAATTGCTGAATATCTACTGAATATCTAATACATAAAGAATTATGGGATGAACAAAGAATATTACTAAGTAAAAAAGTGTTCAATTAGTCAATACAGAGTGGACAGTTTTAATGATTTGAAGACATTTTTGGAATTTCACAGATATGAACTAGGACTTATTCTTGTTTTTTTTTTTTTTTTTTTTTTTCGCATAGGGCAGTGTAGTCAAATTCTTCTCAGTATATGAGGCTGAATAGTAGGTGATTGCAGAAGGTATTAATCTGATACTACATATGTGGAACAATAGCAGTTGTGAAACTGAGAATAAAAAACACGAACATTCTTTGCAAATTGTAAATTTGCACACCTGGTGCAAGCATGCAATATCGACATTTTTTGTTTAAAAAAGTAGATTGGTGTGTGTTGAAGTGTCAAAAATCTCTCTTGTGAATTTTCATCAAATATTGACAGTGTGAAGCGATACAGGTAGATAAGGTGTGCGGACATTGATAAGTATAATTGCTCAGCGTACTTGGAATGATTTTTGTGGTAATGTAGAGAGAGAAAGAGAGTAATTGATTTTTCGAGTTCTTATTGACATTTTCTAAATCTGGAAAAATAAATCGGGCAACTGGAGTATTTTATCTCAAATTAAAACATTATTTTCAAAGCAAATTGGATAACGTGCATTGATTTCTTGCTGGAGGTTATGAGTTTAGATTAAAAAATGATGTATGCAGTTTGAATGATAAATACATTTTGTCCTTAATATATTTGAAGGTAAAACAGGACATCAAGAGTAGGTATCACATTTGAGAAGTTTTTACATTCTGTGTGTGTGTGTATATATATATATATATATATAGAGAGAGAGAGAGAGAGAGAGAGAGAGACAAGAAATTATACCAATGATTTTTAAAGTTACTGAAAACAATCTGAAATATAAAAACGGAAAGTTAAATGTTCCTTTCATAGTTTATTTAAAAGTTTACTAAAAGTCATTAAAATAAAGCGTAATACTATCAAGATATGATAAAAAAGCTGCACATCTCAGCCAATGCTTCTCAGGGCATAAGTCATGATAATCTCATGTTGTATTATCTCTGGAATTAAGCCTGTATAATTCATGGTTTTCTGTTTTCCCTTTTCATAATTAATACTTCAATTATGTTCTCTGAAATGGACTGTGAAAGATACACAAATGAGTGTTAGTGCACATTCCCACTGAAACTATTGGTTCTACATAGATCAATCCAACTCAGTGGGGACTCTCACTGAGTGCAATCGGTTTTACAAAGTGACACGCTGGAGTAGAAGACTGAAAAACTGTGATTATACAAGTACTATACTATTATACAAGTTAATCCGATTGCTTTCAGCAAGAGTCCCCATAGAGATGAATGGATCTATGTAGAGTGATACACCCCATTTCCATAGATTAAATCGACCTCCTTTAGATCGACCTAACACCCTGGGGGTTCATGCTAAATAGCTGTCAGCCGGGCGGACATGAAAGTTAATTACCTCCTTACAGCTTGTAGTAGGCGGAACGGACATTTAAGTCGGATTATCTGAAAGTAATCTAGTGAGACTCCCCGTGGGGATAGATC